GTTTTTCCATATTTTCATAATTTTACCTTGTCTATATATTTTCTCCGATTTATTTTTTTTAAACAATTTGTTCGGGAAAAAGGAATTAATAAAATCTTATGGACGATATTGTTTGCAGAATTTAAGGAATTTGATGGAATTGAAACGACAAATTCCTTTGTTTGGTTTATTTATTAAAATTGATGGAATCTTTTAAATTCCATTGGATTCCACGAATTAATGAATTCATCATTCTTTGGCACAATGAAAGGAATTGAATTCCATCACCACCAGTGATGGCCAAAAACCGGTCCCGGGCCGGGCCGATCCCAAGATTTCTCATAACTGGTCCCGGCGTAACCGGTCCCGATCATTAAAAAATAAATTTTTTATTTTTAAATTTTTAATGATATATATTTTTAATACATTGTAAAATTTGTAATTGGGTCATTCAAATACACTTTAAAAATGCATTTTATTATAATTAAAATTACATTGTGTTACAAAATATAGCGAGAAACCGATAATTGTGAATGTTTTGTTTGTGTTTTTTGCGAATCGAGAACTTGGTATGCAAATCCCTCAACCAAAACACTTATACATAGTGTTTATAAAGCAAAAAAATACAAAAAAAGGGTCATAAAACGGCTACATTTAAAAAAAATTACATTTTCTAAAAATCGGGTCGGGCCGGTCCAGGTCGGTCTCAGTCCCGCGAAACACCCCAAATCCATAACCGGTCCCAGATTTCGGTCTTATAACCAGTCCTTACCGGTCCCGGGCCAGGCCGGACTGGTTTGGCCATCACTAATCACCACCCACCATGACCATGCTACTATTGTTCGTCATGCCCCACGCCTAACCCCCTCACCCCACCATCACAACTATTGTCGCCGCCACCCACCCTACCCCACCACTAACCACTATGTCACTATTGTTGTCATCACCCCCCTGGTCACTCACTGCATGTCCCTACTACGACCATGTTACTATCGTTATTATCACGCCCCTAACCTAACCCCCACCATCACAGGTGTATTATCATCGTTGCGACGGTCACTCACCCCCACCCCACCCCACCCACTCCCAACCGCCTGACCACCATCCCACCATTTTCTTCGTCACAACTACCACCCCACCACTCATTTCCACTGCCCCTCCCCGCCCCTAACCTAACTGGCTAACCCCCACCCACACCATTATTGTCATCTACATAACCGCCACTCACCTACACCCCACTCTACCCCAACCCACCATGCCACTATTATTGTCATCATACCTACTTACTCCCAGGCTCCAACCACCTGACCACTATCATCGTCACAGTTACCACCCCGTCACCTACCCCTATCCACCCTACCGTCCCGCCCTGCTCCCAACCCATCCTACCTTACCTTATTCCAACCCACCACTAACTACCAACCTAACACTGTAGTCATCATAGCTACATCTAGCCCCACCCTCATTGCCTCGCCCCACCCCACCTTGCCCTGCCTTGGCCCCAACAACCCCAACCTATAGATCAAGGATGGGGCAGGAATGGTGGGGGCAGGGTTTGGGTAGGGGTGGGGCAAAATGATAGTTGTGACGATAATAGTGGTGACATGGTAGTTGGTAGGGTGTGGGTGGGGAGATGGGTGGGAATGTCCAAATAAAGACGGTTGTTCCAATTATTTTGAGATATTTCATTTTAATTCTTATCAATCAAACACATGGTTAAATTTATTTCAATTTATTCAAAATCAAATTCACTGATAAACTCCAATTCCATTGAATTTCATTATCTGAACCAAACACCCCTTTAGTTTTTTCTATCGGAGATTTTTCTAAACTTTATATTTTAATAATTTAAACTTTGTGATTTAGATTTGATTTTTTAAAAGAAATAAATTAAACAAAAATAAATATTTGTATTTGCATTGATTTGTGTGTTTCTTAATGTCTTAAAAGCAATAATTAAAATGAGATAACCAACTTAAAAACATTAGGTGCAGAAGCGCCGAATGTGGGGAGTGAGTGACGGAGGGATAATAGACTCTCTACAAGGGATGTACACGTGTCATATCAGAATCATTGCTCTTTCACTAAAATACAAACGCCGTTAATGTTATGCCAATGTCCACCGCCCTCTTTCTTTTCGTTTGTTACTTTCTTCGCATTTTTAATCGGATTACATAACTTCTCTCATTAATTATCATTTATGTACAGGAGTGTTTATGTGTTAGATTGATCGGATTGAAAATATTTGAACAATCGAACTCAATGTTTGCGGTTTGAAAAATCTAAACTCAACCTAACTCAAACGAAATTGCAACCCAACCCAAACGTACGGGTTGGTCGGGTTGATACTTGGTATATTAAAATATTATTCTAATCTTGAATATGTTATTTGTCTACTCATAATTTCTTTTTCATCATCAACCATTTGATACAACATTCAGTTAATTTTCTCAATTTATGTATATATGTTTACAGTTACTAAACATATATACGAATGAATTATATACAAATGTGAATAGATTGAAAAGATATGTATATGAATAACGTACGTGATAGTATAACTGTCTAGCGTATATACTAATAGAAATTCAACAATCATATTAAATCCAAAAAATAAATGGATATCGGGTTCATCGGGTTGGGTTAGGTTCAAATAATAGTAACTCAATATCAACCCAATACCTACGGTTTGAAAATTTTACAACTCGATTAGACATCGGGTTGCTTCAGGTTAAGTTATTTCACATTAAGTTGGATTGGGTTGATCGGATTTTTAAACACTCCTAGTTATGTGTCCACATAATGTGATGAGTTGAAAAGTATATCCATGTTGGATTCAAATATTCATTTATAAATGTTTACATTGTAAACTGAATACATATGAAAAAATACATTATAAAATAAATATATGTTAATTAATATTCTAAATCATAGTATTAAATAAAAAAAATCATATAATGTATAAATTCTCAAAGTTATCTTAATTTCATAGATTTTTAAAAAAGATTTCATGTATAATTTTTTTAACACTTATAAAAACTAAATCAAAATAAAAACAATTCTATTTTAAATAATATAATTTTTTTATGGATCATTTTAAATAAAAAAGCTATTAAAATTTGTTTTCTAAAACACCAATAACAACAAAATTGAATTTTCTTATAATATGTTATCATGAAAATGAAAATGAAAATCCAAGAGTAGGAAAAATAGAAACAGGAATGGGTTTGTGTTTGGCAAGTGGTGCCAGCTGCTTTTCCTTAACGTCTTCGACTGGTGTTTCTTTTCATGGTGCCAAAGGACCAATCTTTTCCGCTTTTCCTAATAAAAAAATTGTCCATATTTTTCATTAAATAAAAAAAATAGAAAGTAAATAACACAAAGTAAATAAAAATTCTAGTAGAATAAGAATCGGTGTACCTTTTCGATTATGAAACTCGGCCCAATTTTTTAACCATTAAGTATTTATAGCAAGTGCCGTGCTAAAGTCCAATGCCAATCTTTAATTGGGTTTTAACAATACTCCATATTTTCTATTCAAGCTCTTAAAGTGTTCAAGAATAAACTCCAAATCTGAAATCTCAAATAACATCTGGGTTCGTTGGTATGCTATGTAACATCGTTCGAGGGTGCGTTCAGCGTTCCTATCAGATTGGTCTATCGTTTATTGGTTAATCAGCAAAGGTACATAATTTGTGATGTTTATGAATGTTGTTATAATTGAAATAATATTGGTAAAAAAAGTGAATCACTTACTTGATTATAACATAATTCTTTTTAAATAATATAATTAGAATGGACTTCTTTTTTGAATTGTAATTTTTGTGATAAGGATCTCTAAAAAGGGAATCATGTTGATTTTACCCTTCATAAATATTATATTAATAAATGAATTTTTTTTGCACTTTTGGCACATGGAAGACTAATTATAGATGTTTCTCCATTACTATAAAAGCATCTGAAATTGGATAAAATATCAATCTTTTTAACCAAAATTACTTTTCAGTCCTTTTTTTAATTGAAATTTTATTTTAGTCAGAATCTAAGTCTTATTTGGTCACAAAAAGGAATTTTTGTTCCTTTTTTATTTGAACCTGAGACCTTCTGATACTTTTGATCTTTGAAGCCAAGTTCAAACCAATCAAATACCATCCTTATGGTTTGATCAATTATTTTTAAAGAATCTGTTAAAGGTACTCTAAGCAATTTAAGTATCGACGGCTATTTAAAAGCCATCAAAACTTCTTTTTACAAACTTTACGCTCCCTTCAGATTTCATAACCTAAACATTTCGTGACAACAATCTTTCTACTTCTATAGACAAAAACAACAAGGACAATATGTATATCCTATTCTTCATTGATCCTATTTCCGTATACGATAACCGGGTATCTTCGGTTTCATTTGTATGGTACAAAAAATCTATGTATTTACGTAAAAACACCAACTTCTATTCTAGAGCCGGGAAGACATCGGTAGGCGCAAAACGGTATTGTGTTGGTGTATCTAGTTTTTTTGAGAGGTAACTTGAGGGATACCGACATATATACAGGGAGGTACTAGGCGGGAGCGTACAATGTTTCCATAAAAAATACGGTGTGTTCCTATACATTTTAAAATTTTACTTTGCGTCTGCATAAATGAGGAGAAAGATATGGGACTATATTGGCTAGAGCCTTCCTATACTCAGTTGGTTTACACTGATTAACAATCGTATTTGATAGACGTGGTGAGTTCTTTTAATAGACCGCAATTTGTTAATAATCCCGACAACATGCCAAATTCGTTTGGTATGATTGAAAAGATGAAAGAACCTAACCACAAGGGTGATGCCTGATTGGTTTGAGCTTGACTCCAAAGGTCAAAAGTACCAGGAGGTCTCAGGTTCAAATCCAAGGAGGAATAAAAATCCCCTTGTGGCCATGGAGGTTCAAATGCGGTGACTCCGGGCTATTAGCAAAGCAGGTGGTTGCCCTGTGATTAGTCGGCTCGCATAGCGGGTTGGATATCCGGTAAAAAAAAAAAATGAAGAACCTTGAAACATTCAGCCAATCCTCAATATCAAAATGTAGTTATATAACTTTGATGTAGTAGACTAAGGATACGAGTTATCCAAGGAAGTTCATGATCACCAAATGCAGCACCAAATTGCACAGAACAAAATCCGCAAAAGCACGCTCAGGAGGTAAATCCTGCAACAAAATCGATGACCAGATATCACGTAATCATCTAAGCAGGAATGAAAAAAGCCTAACGCAACTGTAACCAGTGTTTAGGGTTCAGAGGTTAATGCCATGATCTCCATCAAAAACATTTTGAAGTAATGAGCCAAAGTGGAACGAGAAACATACCTTGAATTCCTTGTTTTCTTTGTTTACTTGGATACGGAGACAAACTGTGGCAAAGATGATAAAAAGAAATGATTTTTTTTCAAGAGATAGTAACCCAAATTGAAACGAAACTTGACCATGAATAACGTTTTTAACACAAATAAGCTTACCAGCAAGAACGGCTGTCCCTACACAAGAAAGTACACCCGAGAGAAAAGAGTTGAACGGAAAGGATCCAACAATCGCCATGTAACCCACCTGGTAATAAGCGAAACGTGAGCAACCCGTCCATGATTTCAAATACCAAATCAAGATTAAAGGTAAATGATGACGTTTCTTGGTTTGTTTTTCTTTTTCTAATTTATGAATCAAGAAGCATAGCATGCACGAAGATGTATCCCTCTTTGTGGCCAACAAGTAGGCATTATGTCGATTGCCTTTTGAGGGAGTTAAAAACACAACCTAAAGGAATCGTCACAGAGCATTATATCCATGATCCTGAGAACAATATTGAAAGGAAAAGTATGACCGTTGCATACAACTTGACCTCACTATTATCAATCCCAGTTCATAATTTTCTGACCAAGTTGGTGAACAAGACCAAATATTTGGACAATGTGCATGATCACCCAAGTTACTAACTACAATTATATAATCAACATCAAGAATGGTTAAATAGCGGAACTCAAGCAAGATCCTAAGGGTGTTTGCGGAAAATAGACAAAATATAACCAAGTGTTTTCCTGATATCATATTTCAAGAGTAAATTCACATTATGGTTTAGCTATAGCACAATGACTACTCTGAAGAGATTATTTAATAGTGGTAATCGACACCTTTGATCCAAATTCTAACTAGTCAGTTTCCGCACACATTAGGTGGATTCTTTCCCCAATACCGAAAAGATCTCAGCAAAAAACAGGGTTCACACAAAACAAACTCTGCATATGGTAAGGGAAGATTCTAAGGCCCGTGGGTGTGACCTCCATGGACGGACCTGATGTGGTGGCATGGGTGGCACGTGCCACCGTATTATTTTGCGACCGAAGGGTAAAAAATTTAGGTTTGTTAACGGTGCTACCGTATCGTTTTAGAAGGTGCTACCGTATTTCCCTGAAATCCAAATGGTGCAACTAAAACCCAAACAAAACAAAGCCCAAATAACCAAAACCATACTTTTTTGTAATTATTTTTGGGTATATATTGACCGTTTTCAAAAGATGAAGACACGTCGGGTACAAGTTTAGGAGTTGTTTATCGGTACTTAGGGCTGTAAACAACCGAACGAACACGAACGGAGGCTTGTTCATGTTCGTTCGTTTAACTTAACCGAACAAACGAACGAACACGAACGGTAAACGAACGAAAAATCTTTGTGTTCGTGTTCGTTCGTTTAGAAATAAGGTGTGTTCGTGTTCGTTTATGTTCGTTCGTAAACATGCTAAACGAACGAACATAAACGAACGGGCTAAACGAACATAAATAAATATTATTTGAATTCAAAGTAAATAAATAAAAGATAATATATTAAACTTAATATATAAACGAACATAAACGAACATAAACGCACGTAAACGAACGGTAAATGAACGAACGTTCACGAACATAATCGAACGAACGGGACTCTTGTTCATGTTCGTTCGTTTAACTAAACAAACAAACAAAAAAATAGTTCATGTTCGTTCATTTATTAAATAAACGAACATAAACGAACTTCCCGTCGAACGGTTCACAAACGGTTCGCTGAATGTTCGGTTCGTTTACAGCCCTATCGGTACTATAAAAACCATATTTTTTGTAATTATTTTTAGATATATATTATACTATATTAATTATATGGTGCCACCGTTTGAAAAAATTTCTGGGTCCGTCCCTGGTGACCTCTAAGGATTTTAAAGCACTTAGTGGGATCCAAGCTTTAAACAGCCACGAGACACCAAATTCAAATGGATTAAACCTATGTTTTAATCACAATAAACTTCATTTGGTATTTGATGAAATCGCAGTGTCAAACATTAACCAAGAGACTGCTTGCATTTCTCCAGTCTGCTGAAGATTCATGCTAATTCTAGCAGTCTTGGAGACTAAATTACTCAAGAGACGACTGAAATAAGACAACAAGTTAACATGGAACCCAAACAGTACCAATTCACCCCAACGAAACACATAAAAGCTCTTAATATCAACCCATCAAAGTTCAAAAGAGTTTGGCAGTGAACCAAAATTACTCTAGAACCCAACAGTACACTGCAAACGGTTCAATCAAACACCGAAATTCAACAACATTTTAACATCAAATCAGTACACTACCATTGATTGAAAACAGAACGACAAAATTGCAAACAACGGTTCATGATAAGATTATACAAGAAAATAACCAAATACCTGAATCAGAGCGGTGAAGACAGCAAACACCACGTACAGATCTATGAGCTACAATTAGCACAGATCGTTAGATCACAAAACAAAACGCAGAAAATTTACGCAATTAGATAAATCGAGAAAATGGAACCTTAAGATTAGTGGGAGTGGCCGAATAAGCAGAACGTAGAGAGTGAAATAGAGCTTGCGCATCATCTTTCGTCGTCGCCGGCGACCTTCCCATTTCCTATTTGTCACTCGCACACACACTCACGCTCTTAACAGTTTCTGTGTGTTCAGGGTTCTCCCTCAACAATGGAAGGTCAATTTGAAACCCTAATGAGAAATCACAAAGATTGCAACACTGATTCATAGATTTATAATTATAGAAGAAGAACATCAACAAGGCCTATTAGCTCAGCTGGTTAGAGCGTCGTGCTAATAACGCGAAGGTCGCAGGTTCGAGACCTGCATGGGCCAATTTTTTCATTTCCGTATCCATAAGTTTTGCTTTTTGCATTTTCCACCCAATATTTATTATGCACCCGTGACTCCGTGTATCTATAAGTTTTGTCTTTTTCAGATTTACCCCAATCTTACATTTTTCTTACATTTTTATATTACATAATGCACAAAAATTACCCTAAGCCAACAAGAAACTTTACTATAACTGCAATCCTATGTAACAATATAAAAAAAGTGAAAAATCGTATGAGAGGCAAAGTTAAGGTACGAAACATAAGAAGTAATTTGAATCCTTGATCATATTTAATATCAAACTCACTCATGAATCGTGTTTGATACGGAGATTGATTTGGTGCATCTCATTCTAATGTGTATTCAAGAATGAAGATCTTTGCTTACACTTTTAACCTTAACTTTTGTTCTCATTGAAACTCGAACGTATATAAAAATATATATCAACTACATATTTATATTTATATTTCAATAATTAAACATTTCATGTATTATTAATCCCATCAATATCATATAAATTCCACGTCTGGACTTTTGTTTGTTGCTTTTGACATTTTATGATGGATCTAAGACTAATTGTGGATGGAAAGCAGCTTTCATATATAGTTTTCTTCTAGTCATGATTTTTTTTATTTTATTAAATTATTTAATATATGATCTTAATAACATTAATGGATTAAAGCATTTATTTAAGAAAGTGTACGTATATAATTCTTGATTTATATTTACCATTTAAGTTTTTTTATTTGATTAAAAAAACCTTTAGAGTTTAGACCTTTATAAAGCTTTTCCTAAGAGAGAATATGAAATATGTGTGAATATAATACACACCCAAATAGAGTTAATTACATTTTGGTCCTTATTGTTTGGGAGATTTATGAAAATGAAAAAAAGACAAATATATAAAAGGACAAAAAAAAACTCAATGTTAAATGGAGAAAATTACAAAATGACGGAAATGTCCTTAACTTTAACTGAAGGAGTGGATGGCTGTTAAGGTGAATGACCAATCTGTTACAACCATTTTCATAAAAACCGCCAAACTACAAGGACCAAATCTGTAATTTACTCTTAAATTTAAGTGAATGATAAAACAAAATAAAAATAAAAGAGTAAACTATAATTTTGGTTTCAGTGGTTTGTCAAAAACAATATTTTTTTCTTTTTACATTTTTGAAATTATATGATGGTCATTGTGATTTGTAAAAACGTCTAGATTTGATCTCTTACTCAAAAATTCCGTTAAATGAGAAACATTTTTGTTCTTATTTGTCTTTTACTAAATCAAAATTGATTTTATGATTTTGGTTCATGTTGTTTTTTATTGGATAAAATACAAAAAAGATGATAAAAAGATGAAAATGTCTCTCAATTAACGAAAGTTTTAATCGTCACTAGAGAAACAGATAAAACAAACGTTATTTTCAAACCACAATAACCATTTTGTAATTTCGAAACTGCAGAAATAAAATGTCATTTTTGACAAACTACCGAGGACCAAACGTGTAGTTTACTCTAAATAAAATTTCCACTGAGTCACGTCATTACAAATAAAGAAGATAAAATAGTATTGATGTTGATATTCGCTTATTTCATAATTCATGCCAATAATTCATCTAAAAAATTGAAAACTATGTCTTATAACAATTAAAATATATATAATAAAATAAAATTTCATCCAAAAAAGTATTTATTATTGATGTTAAATTATTGCAGGAAAAAACGATGCGATGATGTGATATTGATATTTGTTTTTGGTCGGACTTTAATAATATTGAAATTAATTAATTAAAAATATAATTTATTTTTTTCTATTCGTTTTTGGTCAATAGGATGGGTAACGGTCAATTGCATAGTCAACTATATGTTGGTTTCTACGGTTTGTCATAAATTACGATTTTGATTTATGCGCATTTTTCATTTTGATGGTGATTGTGGTTTGGAAATGATAGGGGTATTTATCAGGATACTGTTTGATAAAAAAAAAACTAATTTATAAGTTAGCTTATAAGCTAATGACTTATCAGCTACCGACTAGCTTATAAGCTAACAACTATCTTATCAACTATCAACTAGTTTATCAGTTTATTTGCTAAACATGACTTGAATGTTTACCGGATAAGTGCTTATCGGGTTATTTTACCTTATTGGATGAACGTCAAGGATTGCAAATCTTACTCAGGAAGAGCGATGACAAATATCGAGAGTCTTACCCGACAAGTGAGAGTGACCACTCTTACCCAATAAGCGTTTACCGGTTAAGTATTGTGTAAACGCCCCCTAGTCCTCGAGGTTGAAAGATCTCATGGTGCGTTTGGTATACTCTGGGTGGACTTATACGGTACCAAAAAAACTTCTACCAACATCGTGTACTAATTGATTATGATTGGTAAGCAAAATCTTATACCGTGTACCAACAACTCTCGTTGGTATCATTTTTTTGGTTGGTACTGGTTTTGTACCAATTTCAAACTACATATATAAAAATATGATATTTTGTTCAAATTTTGAGTTTGCAGATAACATGTGTGATATTTAAGGTGTTTTAATTGCATGTGATAAACCTGCAAACATTCATATGTTCAGTTTAAAAAAGTTAAAAGTACAACATTTAATATTTAGTACATCAAAATAACAAAAGTAAATAATAATCAACTATGTTTGTAACATGGTACTACCATGGCATGTGACTTCCAATGTCGTGCCCCAACGGGCTATAACTGGTATCACATAAATTGATACATTTGGTACATATGTTGGTTGGTTTAATTTGGTACAAAATTGTCACGTCTCAGTATATTAGATAGGATAAGACATAACATAACAAAAATCATTGTTCCATATCTGACATAACTTTTATATGGAACAAAGTGGAATAAGACTGTTCCACCTCACCACATAAAACAAGATGAAACAAATTTATATTTTACCGATATACTCCCGAAAATCTAATTATCTTCTAAAACAACAAATACACATCATTCTTTACATTTTATCAAGATTTATATTATATTTTCTTTGAATTTTCACTTTTTTGTCCTCAATTTTTTTTATTTTATATTTTGGTTGATTTATTAAATATTAATAATAAAAACATAATAGAGAAAATGTATAAATGAAATTGAAGTCATATGAACTTCATATTATGGTGTCATTTTAATCGTTTAAATAAAAACTTTCTAATAACATGTTTTGTTATAAAAAAAATATTTTAGTTTTATTGTAATATTTAATAAATTATATAAATTAATTAAAATATATAAAATAATAGAATGAAAAATTAAAAGAAATAAAGCAAAAGTTTGAAGAGAATAAAATATTTAAGAGTGTAATTTCATGTATTTTTTTTTTTGTTTTAGAGATAATATTTAAAATAAGAAATATTTAGTGAATGTGAGTTTTTTAATCAAACTATTTATTTTGTTTTTTGTTACTATTATTTGAAAATTTCATTTAAATTGATTATTTTAGTAAATTGGTCATTTAATAAGTTTTGTCATGTCTTACTAAACGTAAACAGTTGTTCTCCCATATTCTGCCATGTCATGTCTATTGTCTGGATATCAAACACACCCTTAATGAAGGTCTAATTAAGTCCTCTAACATAGGAACACATGACAACATTTTGGATTTTTTACGTTATTTTTCTTTTCCCTATCAAATCAATAACACATACTTAACGATGTGTTTGGTGCACAACTACATGACACAGTACGATACAATAAAATAGTCTCATATTTGACATGACATGGAACATAAAACAGTTGTATGGAACAATACGAGAAGAGAAAAACAATTGCTTACCTATATAGTAGTCGAGTTTTCCCATATTACGTTGCCTCGTATTTTTATTGCTTTTGTGTTTTTTTTCCTTCTCGGTTCATTTGATGCTTCTCCTTCGGTCTTTTCGATCACTGACTTTTGTTGCTTTGCATTTACACTTATGCTCCTTTGGCTTGCCATTATACTGCTCATTATCTGTTTCACTGCTTCTTTGGTGTTCTTTGACTTATGTCGTTCTGCATCGTCAAACCTTCTCGAATCTTATTGTCATGGACAGATTCAGTGTAGGGCATATGGTGGCACACTTCTCCGTTGTATTGTAAAAAGATATAGGGTTCTAAAAAGTGTCACCATGTCAATTTATTGTGTGCTACCATATATATTATGAAACTACAATGAGAAGAAGAGTTTTATTTGGTTGAGTTGGTTTGCAAAACTTTTCTTTTATCCAGATGCGAGTTCAAGTCCTTTTAGTGTTATTTTCTTAATTTTTACTTTTTAATTTCAGATTTATTATGTTCCTAAAAAAACTTGCGATAATAGACTTGAACATAATACCTCACATATGAAAAACAAAAAACTAACCACAAGACCAATGCTGATTTGTGAAAAACATTTATACATTTGTTTTCTTATAGTCAAATGGTGTCATCACTTGAAAATATTTCTAGGCCCGTCTCTGGTTATTGGGGGAAGAGTTTGTGAGAATATGTGGAATCCCATATCTATACTATATTATAAAGCATTTGACAAAAACTCTTAAAAATCATTTTTAATACATTAAGTACTTTTTATTGATGCATATTACTTAAAATTCAAGATTACAATTAATTGTGGTAAGTGCAACTTATTAAAGATTCATGTTTGAATTCGTGTAACTAATTACAAATAAACAAAATCAAATAAAAGATAAACATCTCATTTTAAATATAAAAAATCTAAAAAATAATAAGGATAATTATTGACTTATAACAAAATACTTAACTATTATCTTTATAAAAAAAATATATTACTAAAAAAATGAATTAAAGAAATACACAAAAACAGGAAAAAAAAACTAAATAGTTAGTTTAGTACTAATATTATATATATTTTTTAATTTTTAATGATATTTTCATATTTATGTTTTATTCAAAACTTAAAAACATTATTGTTTTCTCAAAACCATATAAAATTGTACTATAACATCGACTGAAACAACAACAACAAAAAAAAAAAAAAAACGAAACATTAAGATCTAAATGTATGTCGTTACATTGTGCGAGTACCCTTATAATCAATCTTTAAAAGAGTCATTGAGGAGATAAAGAATATTCCAATAAATATATAAAAGAGAATTAGTCAAAGTCTAGCCGACATGAGATTCTAACACGCTCCATTCCAGAGCGGTTAAACGAACACATATTATCCCATAGTGTTGAGAAGGGCTCGACGGGCAAGGGGGTTAGACGAGTACAAATTGCCTAGATTGTCAAGTCCGTAGAGCGACAAACATTAACTTTGATATCATGTGAGTAATCTCCAAAAGAACCATTGGAGAAGATATAGAAAGTTCATATGCATACATATATATGAAAAATGATCAAAGTCTAGCCAATGTAAAACTCTAACGGGGATCTTCATCATTGAATCAATTTTAATTAAAAATCAACACTAATGAAATACATCAGATCAATTCCCTTCTAAAATATAATTTTTTTTGTCTTTTAACTATCTGCATAAATTAGGGAGATAAGTGGTACTAAAAGAAACGGTCATTTAAATAAAATAGAAAAAAGAATTATTAAAAGATTAATTACAACGAAAGAAATGACCATTTCGATCCATATAAAATAGACAGCAAAAATTAAAACGTTTCGTAGTCAGAAACGGCCCGTTAAGCACTTCTTAAAACGTCGTCGTTTGAGTTCTCTTCCGCAACTACCCCTACACTAATATCATCGCCCTCTCTCCCCGGAAGCCCAAGGCCGAATTACGACCTCGCCGACGTTTCTCTCTCATCCGTTTTCTTTTTCGCCAAGCAATCCATCTTCACATAAATCTCATCAATTCCAACTCATCTTCTTCCTAACGTCCTTCTCTTCTGTTCTTTCCAAAATTCTGTTTTGGCCCTTTATTTCCTCTGCGGTCACGACGACTTGGTTAAGGATCCATCGATCCATTGATCATGTTCATCATAATCCATCCAAATTTGGTGATTTCTGCTTGAGGTTATACAATTCTTTTGTTGGTAGGTTCTTTTAATCGAGCTTATGACTTTCTTTCTCCCGGATTCAAGGGTGTTGGTTAGGAATGGATCTTTAACAGATCGGTTATGAATTGTGTTTCTTTGTGGTATTTAAGGGTTTTCTGGTTGGGTACGAGTTGATCCGTTACAAAAACTGGTAGTGGGTTTTATGAATCTTTTATCATAATTTTCATCAAATAGATTGTATGAGATTTTCGAAAGTTAGTCTGCATCGAAATAATTCTTTAGTATCTTCCCCAAAAAAATTATTTTAACCGTTGTTTTCTTTTGGTGTAAGTGTGTAACTGTCTGTCTTTGATTTGTTTGGGAGTTTGATCAACAAATACGTGGGTTAATTGTTGTCTAAGATTTTTCCAGGGTTTAGGAATATGAAATTTTATGGATTTATTCGGTTGTTGAAAAAAAGTTCTTATCAATTTTTATTTTTATTGTTGTTTTGTTTATGTGCCTGGCTGTAAATTCTTGGATACAACTTCTTTGTGAGCTGGATCAACATATGTGTGGCTTCAATAAGTTTAACAAGATGTAGTGTATATGTCCTCACTGATGTTGACATGCATGTTTATGTTCCCTTTCATAAAATATTATTTCTAAAACAGCTGTTTGATGTGATTAGAAAGTCACTCTTCAGAGTTGCAAAATATGCAAAGGCACAAGCTGCATACAGAGACTTCCCAACTGCACCCTGAGAAGATTTGGTGCAATTGGATGTTCTTTGTGTAGAGTGAGAGGCATATTTGAACACACACACACAGGACATATGCATATAGGGACCGAGATCAAGTAGACATGCGCTAAAAGAAACTGAATCATTGCTCCAAATAGAGGCAGTGCATGAATTAAACATTTATGTTTGGTCAATTAGAGTGAGGATGAGTTTGAATCTAATTGATAAGGACGAAAAGCGCAGGATTAACCGAAGGGCCTTTGGCCTAGCGGTATCGGAGCCTTTGGCCTCCTAGGAGGTCAGAGGTTCAATCATCACCAAACGTGAGGAGGGTGTGTGAGATTACTTATTGCATTTGCCGTGTATAAATATTATATACTTCAAAAAGAAGTGCAGGATGTAATTATTCCCAGCAACTATTATAACATTTGACATTATTTGGCTCATAAACTGGCTTTATGCTGCACAGATGACATGACTCCATGACTATATGCCTATTTAAAGACCATTATATTCTAACAAGTTACATCTAATTCCTTTCATGTTAGATCTAGACCTGGTCTTATTTCTAAGTGGGATCTGTGGACTGTGGAGTAGATTTATAAATGGTGGTGCTTTTGGTGTAGCAACTTTTTTTTTTGTTTAATTGACTGTGGAACATGGATATTGTGTGTCTGTGATATTATATAGATTCTTCATGGAAAAAAAATGGTGTTCAATTGAACTGTATTTTTACTAGTTTCTGACGGATGTTTTTGTGTTTTTAGTGTAGTACTCGTTAGAGCTGTAATTAGTTTATGATAGGATTAGAAATTTGTCGACCTCAAGCAATGGAATGGAAATGGCCGCATTATGCAGAAGTAAAGCTGGTTTTAATAAATGGTATGTTCTCTTAACTTAAGTGACTATATTTTTGTTCAAGTTAATGTTTTTTCAGACCACCTTTTGATTATATAGTATTTTTTTAATCATAATTGTTTTGAGTTATGCATTCATCCATTACGTTCTATTTTGTAGTTGTTACAAATCATTTAAATAATTTGTTCCTGCATAAAGTGAGTTTTTATTTTCGAGTGATTGAAAGTTTAGAAGCTCAAGCTTGTTATGTATATTTTCTAATTTTCAATCTTTTATTTGCAGGATTACTTTGTGGATGCGTACGTATATATTGATACCACATTTTTTTTGTATTTATTATGCTCTTTATTGGGAGCTCTAGCAATTTTATAACATGATAAATTGAAAAATCTTGCTGCCAGCTTCTTTATAATGACCATTTTGATCTATTTTCTTTTTCTTAGGTTCACTCCGTTATGCCCTTTCCATTCTAGCTGTTGACCTATCCTGTTTTAGTAATTTTATAAGGAAGAATATTATGTTTTTGATACTTTTTATTAAATATTTCTTATGTGTTCTTTAAGGTGTAACATGTCATTACCAAGTTGTGTTCAATCTGCATTCTAGCAATCTTTCGTCTATGATTCATAGTGCATTTGAATACCTTTTGGATATATTCTGATTTAGAGGGCATTCAAAAGATGCATGGACAAGGAAGAACCATACATGCTCAATATCACATTGTACGTAGCAAGAGGGAGGGGTTTCTCTTGCATGTAGCATGTGAGGGTTGAAATTAGTATCTGGGTTTGATGTATTTCTTTGCCTGATAGTGTACTACCACATACCCCTTTTGAGGTTCATGCTGTATGGTCTATTCTTAAACAAGTAACTCTAATATGGCTTACCTGGCGGCTGGACATGTTGAGTACCCCATACCTCTTTGAAACTAAAGATCATATGAGATGACAAAAAAACTTCACATCCATTCTTGGATCCCAACTATGTTACTCTCTTCATTTATAATATCAAAATAAAGTTTTTACACTTTTGGTTCACACATGCACATGGGAGGTGTCAAACAAATCTACTATCTGTATTGGTAGAAAATCATGGTGATTGAGATATTCATCGGTCATTGCTTGGTTTAATTTCTACGCCTTCACTTTATTTTAAACCATACTTTCTACTAAAAAATTCTTTATGGTATGCTTACATGCCCTTCGAATGATTTTTTTACCATTTGTGATCAATTGTACCACAGATCATTGATTGAGAATCTATGGTTTTAATTTGATATATTTTCAATTTTTTTCTTTTTGCAAAGATGTTATATTCTTTTATGTTACTCCAGGATCAATTGTACCACAGATCATTGATCGAGAATCTATGGTTTTAATTTGATATATTTTCAATTTTTTTCTTTTTGCAAAGATGTTATATTCTTTTATGTTACTCCAGGTGTCTACTTTCCATTTACATCTATGTGGTTGGTCTGTTATAGATGATGGGAGGAATTCTCCGGACATACTTGCATTGGATTGATTAGCATGAAAAAAGCTTACCAACAATTTCTATCTTTAGCGATATTCGTTTACAATATTTTAATGTTACACTTCAGGGGAAGTTGCTAACCTTTTCTCCCTTTTTCTGAAATGTTGATTGTACATGAATATAATATGTACAAACCCTCGAAAGATATTTCTCCCCTCATAGATGATTGCTGCCTGCTTGTACTTACTTGGTATTTTGAGAAGTTGATATCCTATTTCTATTTTCTAGCACTTGATTTTTATTAGGTAAGTAGTAGTTGATGGTTTTTAAATGTCGGCCTATGTACTAGTCCTGATGAATGAATCACAATTTATGCAACGTGGCTTGTCTTTTAGAGGCATGGTTGTTTGGATTTGAAGGTCAAGGTTTTGATGCAACCCCTGAGGAAGTAAAGGAAAACAGTGATATGAATAAGATACTTATAGCTAATTAATAAACAATACTCTTTAGTTGCGATTATTTGGCCTTTTCTATCATCATACCTGCACTATTGGAATCTTTAACTCTCTGATATTTATTCTAGACTTGCAAATATTTAAACGTACTTTGTTTATTGTCTCATTGAGATTTAGAATAAACTGGATGCCAGCTGATTGCTATTTTCTTTCTTATGCAGGACTTTCGATTTCTTCGACACCTCGTTTTGAGTATTCCTCATTACTCTTGATAGGTGACTTTTAGGTTGACTTGTGTAAATACAATTAGGTTTGTAGATAAATGGCGTCGAAGTGGGTAAAAGTGTCGGACAGTGGTAGTAGGGTCATTGTTGATTCAAAGAGGAAACGGGTATCTCAGCGCCAGGCTCAGATAGTTAGAGCTAGCAACAGGGCTTTGGCTGTGAGGCCCGACCTTGCTTCAGTATTGAAGAAGACTGGAAAGAGAAAGAGAGATGATGGCTGCATGTCCAAGTGCTGCTCTTCCTTTAGGAAAACTATACTTAAGAACTACTCAAATTTTATGAAAAGTGGACTGCCTCATCGCTTGCTTTTCTCTCAAGATGGTCAATGGACTGATTTTTCCCAAGATGTCATCGACTTGGTTAAGGAGGACTTCTTGGCAAAGAAGGGAGCGACTGAAGTGAAGTTTAATGGGCGTCATCTAATGTTAGATATCTTACATATGATCGAAGTAGATTTGAAAACTGGTGTACAGAAACCTATAGCATGGATTGATGACACAGGTAGCTGCTTTTTTCCTGAATCATATTCTAGCTGTCATGAAAGTCATCAATGCAATAAGTCTGAAGCAATGAAAGATTTAGAACTTGTTGAACAAGAGTCCTCTATGACTCCTGAAATTAATTTGCATATTGAGATTGATCTAAATGGACCAAGTAGCAGTAATTTCGAGGAATGCATTGAAGAGTCAAATGTTAAGAGGATCAAACGTGACCAGGAAGGTTATACAGATCTTCAAGACCGCAATTTATATAATAATCGCAACCAACTAGGTGCAAAAACTGACCAACTTGTTGAGAAAACTCAACAGAGTGATGAAGATGCATCCCCTATTTGTGAAAGTATTTGCAGAACCCTAGACCCAGAAACTGTTGGAAGTATGTTTAGCAGGGCACTAAGTCCGGCCCTGAAGGTTGAAATAATTGATGTCAAGAAATGCTCTGGTGGTATTATGGAAGCGAGGCTAGAGCTTTTCCAAAAGCAGATTGAAATTACACAAAAGCTTCGTGCAAAGGCAAATGTGCAATATGCTTGGTTTGCATCTCCTACAGATGCACTATCTAGCACTGTGGTTTATGGGCTTGGACATGATGGGACAAAACTTGGAAGGTATGGGTATGGAGTCCACCTTACTACCGTTGACTCTGCCCAAAACAGGTACAAATAAGCTTACGTTTCTTGTTTTGAGCTATGATTTGAGGTGATGAACATTCGACAAAGTGTAAACATTTTACTTTTCTGTCTTCACACATGGGAACTATCAGCATGTGTTCATTTTCTTCTCCTTTTTCATCGAGCCTTGTCAATATTTGTATAGTCATTCTCTTCTGAAAATTGCTCTCTATGCCCTTCTTCTTAGAAGGAGCAGAAACTTCATTACTCATTTCTCAAGCTTTTCTATCTATGTATTTGTTAAGGATTTAATTTTCTGCTCTCTTTACAGTGCAACTATTTGTGATGTTGACGAAAAAGGAGTAAGATATATGGTGTTATGCCGTGTGATAGTGGGAAATATGGAACTTGTTTTCCCCGGATCTAAACAATTTTGTCCAAGTGATGAGTGCTTTGACACTGGAGTTGATAATCTGCAAAATCCAAATCATTATGTCATCTGGAACATGAATATGAATACCCATATCTATCCCGAATATACAGTCAGTTTCAAGATGTCTCCAAGTGCTGAAGGTAGTAATTTATGCTTTCCCATTATTCATCTCTAGTTACCTTTATCTTCATCTTTTTCTACAACATCGTCAGTACAGGCATGGAAAATTGTAGGCTGTTCATCGGGTCTGAACCATAATGAATCGGAACCAAAAAAAATCCAAAGTAACGGAGTTGAAAACCAGCGGTGTCTGTCTGGTTCTTGTTTAGAACCGGTTCAGTCTCAAACTGAACTATTAGCTGAATAAAGATGTGCTTTTTTAGTTTGAAAAATCTGAACCTGAAATGCTATCGGTTCAAGTTTAAAAATCAGAAGAATGAACCAGTTCGTTTTCCGTTCCGAGCCGTTGAGAAAATCTAGAACTCATAATTGGTTTTAGAAAAAATCTAGAACCAAGAACTTAACCGAATAACACTGGTTTTGGTTCGATCCCGGTTTTGGTTCTTTAATTTTGTCGGTGACTGGATTTTGCCTACCCTTAGAAAATTGTAGAAGTTGTTGGCAAAGACCATATACTTTATAGTTTAAAAGGGTCGGTCTATATGTCTAAGGGGCAATTTCAAGGATTTCATAACTTCAAATAACCCATTCTGGGATCTGGCTTCAAGTATGTAACGACTCTTGCTAACACCCTTTCATGCATTGACTCTATAGGTCCACATACGTAAGATCTATCACATGTTGATCAATTCTTTCTGTGCTACCAGCCTACCACCATTTGTTTGAGGGTGGTATGCCGGACTCATCAACATTTCAGTCGGGTAATGTGACATAGGGTGGAACATGTTCGGACTTGGATCAAATACCGTATAATGCATCCAAGCTTTTTTGTTACCACTGATCACATAATCATGCCTCCTTATTTTTGCTGACATTTCACGATACTTTGAAACCAAACCATATGAAACGACCCTGGTATATCCCACTTGAAAGTAGGGTATGGGGGGAGGGTAGGCTGTACGCAGACTTTTGCTCTACCCCATGGGGGTAGAGATGCTGATTCCCAGGCTTGCGAAAAGAGGATATAGAGAATTTGCAATTTTTTTTAAAGTTAAGGATTTTGAGAAGACACTGGAGAGCATGAGATATAGGAAAATATTACTAGAAAGAGAGTGTGCAAACATGCAACAAGTACATTAAATAATAACAGCAGGGACATGTGAAAAAAAAAGGTTAAAACTAGCCATGTCATTGTCAAGTAAGGTCGAGGATAGATAAATTATGAAAACACCAAACCACTTAAAATGAAGCACTAGGATCAGATCCTCTTACTCCAACCATGCCAAAATATTGTTATCCTATCTGTAACAGGAAACCCCTCTATCTCCCTCGAAGCGTCAAGCTTGAAGTCATATGGGTTGCCTTTCACCGACAAGGCTTGGGGACAAATAAAGGTTTTTGGATAGACATAACATCGCTCTTTTGACCTGAGGCTTTCCAGAGGCAAGCTAAAGCTGAATCTGATGTGTCATTGGTAAGGCCAGAACTGGGGTACTTGAAAGAGCTGATTGAAGTGTTCAGAATGTTTCTTCAGTGTTAGAATCCTACAAAAGCTGAATCTTCTAAGTGATGCTCGATCAGTCAATCATCTTCAATGATGAAAATAAGCACTCCTATTACATTCCTCAGAGGACTTGCAAACTAATAAAAATGATGATACTGAAAATACCTTTCACTAACTAAGTTAGGCCTGACTGAAATGCTTCATTGGAATATTTTTCTACTGAATTTCAAACATGAACTATAAACTTTACTTGATTTTAGAAGCTATAAAGGACGTGGGATTGGCTTGCATAGCTGATTCGGAGGATGGTGAGATGTAGGATAGTTGATACCAATTAGGGAGAAAAATAGGAGATGTTGCAGATAGGAGATAGTAAAATGAGGACAGAGAGAATTCATAATCCATAGGGAAGAAACGGAGCCTATTTTCAGCCAAATCTCAGATAATCCCCACATCAATCAGGCTCAAAATATGCATAACAGCTCTAGCATTCTACAAAGAATTAGAAACAGTACTTACTATTGTCCTCTTATAAATATGTTCCTGATAATGCAGGGAATCTGATTGTAGAGGGAAGTAGAGTTGACTTATCGAGGGTAACAACTCAAGATCCCCAGGGACCCATGCAGATAGATTCCTCTCCTAGTAAACTGGTGAGTGTTTGTTCTGTGATAAATTTTACTCGTTGATCTGCCTGATTATCTATTGGAAAATGAGCCTCTGGTGAGTACAATAGTAGACATTTTCTTTTTCAGCATTGGTATTCTTAACTGATTGCAACAGATATCTTCAGCCGGCTACAAGTTGTACAAAATAGCAGATAGCCTAAAACTCTTGACGTTTGTAACTTAGGAGGGGCGAGCCTTAAGGTTGCTCTTTTGTGACTGGAAGGTCATGGGTTCAAGTCACATAACAGCCCCTTTGCTAAGTCAAGGGAAAGGCTGCATGCAAAGGTTTCTTTCTGAATCTTTGCTAAGGTAAGGGAGCTCTAGTGAATCAAGGTCACCCTTTTTCTAACTGAGGACCTGAGTTCAAAGCTTGATTGTGGTTTTGGCATGCTGGCAGATCGAGGCTGATTAACTTGTGTGATATGAAACTCTTATTACTTTCATGAAAGCTAACAAGGAGGGGATTTCCCCCCTTACAATATGCTAATTGGCTTGTTCCTCTGTATGGTGTTTAATATGAAGGGTTATGATACACACATTGCCAATAATCGAGCATTTGGATGTCCAAAAGCTTGTATGGAGGAACACAATCTTGGTTGGATGGAAGTTGACTTCCATGAATTTTTTTCTTTCCAGCTTGGAGCAGTGCGTGCTGCTATCTATTCCCTTCTTTCTGTGGAAATTGGAACACTTGACACACAATTTTCAGTAGAATATTCGTTTGTTTGCTAGACCTCCAAAATCTCTTAAATGAACACATATTAAGGAATCTTGAGGTCCCAATTGATAATAAAGTTAAAGAAGTTTTTACGTGTAAACATTCCAATAAAGAAAATGTTGCAATTTTCATGGGAGGAGATACATAGGGGGCTCTTTACTATCGCTTCCATAAATATCTTCATTTGGTTATCCCTCTCCAAGAAAGAAGTTTATTTCACAACTTAGTTCTTTGCGGTTGGCTTTTTTCTTAACTTCAGTTTATATCTTTTGACATAGTGATTATGATATAAAAGTTCATATTTCGAGATTACATCCTATTGTGGTTATTGTTGCTTATTATATTTGTTTCCAGGGGATGAATGGCCCCCAATTTCAAAGTGTGAAGGGCATGTCTATGGAAAAGGTTCCGAGTGTTGGATCAAGCACTTCTAGGGCTCCTAATTCCCCTTGGATGCCTTTCTCAAAGCTGTTTGAAGCTATATCGGATAAAGTAGCCCCTGAGGATATGAGACTAGTGCATGTCTTGTATGAGTCTCTTAGGGTATGTTGAGTAGTAATTGAACACATCATCTGTGTCAAATTGTCTTGTGTGCTTACCTTTGTTTGTGATTTTCTAGGGAAAGAAAACGAGCCGTGAAGAGTTCATTAGGAAGTTGAGATCAATAGTTGGGGATCAGATATTGAGGTCTACAATATCCAGTCTCCAGTCCAGGGCTTGATCTCACTGTTGTTTGGGTTAGTTCTCATATCTTTTTTGCAACTTGTTTCAACAAATTTAGCTGTTGGCAATTGAGAATAATATCATTTACAATTCTATACAAAATGGATTTTGGACGATATTAGTATGTAAAGACCAATTACTGATGCATCTAAGCAAATTTATTAAATTAGGATTCAAATGCACAACATTGGGATCAAATGTGGGAAGGACCATGATTTATAAAAACAAGATTATTTTGTTCAAAAGGAACAGTACTTGCACTCAACGTGTCTGGCAATGCAATTACGTATGATTTATAAAATGTAGGAGATTTATTGTAGCAACTTTAAGAGCATCAAACTTTAGTTCTCATATGTTCAAATAACATAAAATAGTTATATTTCCTATGTTAAATCAACCACTTAACGCCTCTGCCTAATCCTGTGGCTAAGTGTTAGAAGGTCATTTGACCATCTAATTTTGCTTAATCTCTGAAGATTGGTCTGATTGTGCAAAACCAGATCAGTCATAGGCTCCTGAACTACACACACACACATATAGAGGAAGGTTCAAACGAGAATGCTAACTATTTAGGAGAACAAGAAAAAAGTCGTTAATATAAAAAATCACATGTGATTTTACATTAAAAGGAAGCGGGCTACTTCTGAGGCCACTTAAGTAAGTTGCAGGGTAAAGTTGTCTGGATCATATATGATTTGTTACGCGAATCATATATAATTTTGAACATTAACGATATTTTTCTTGTTTTCTTAAATAGTTAGCTTTTTCGTTTGAACCTGCCCCTATATAAATATTATATCCTTTTGAGTATATAGAGTTTGATCTTTTCTCAAATTGAATTTACTGTTACACTGGCGTCCTGTTTGCAGTATTTGGCACAACGGCAGAAGTTAAGAAGTGGGTGCAAGAAGCTTGAGGTGGTGAAGAACTTCAAAGTCTCGAGGTCGGTTTGTCTTGTGAAAATATGGGCTTTCATTTGTTCAGTTAGATTGGTATTTTGCTTTTATTTCTGTTTAGATTAGGTCAAACTTGAATCTACTACAAGGATTTACATCTAGGCATATTAAAGTGCCATTGAGTACGAGGTTTCAACCTTTCCAACTATCCCTCAGTAAAGCCATCTCTGATGATTGTGTTCAGCTTCTTTGTACTTGTTATGTTTATTATCCATGAAGCACGTACGCCATTTACAGAAATTGTCGTATGTTGTAGTTTCGTCCTATATACCTATTGTAACACTTTTAGGTATGATGCTTTATCGTTTGATCCTATAAACTTAAGTCCTATAAAGTATGCTATTATATTTAAGCATCCTATAAACCCAATTTTGTTGTAGTGAGTTGAAAATTAATTGTTGGGTCGGTGACATTATTGTTTGGTTGAGAAGTCTATTCAGACCAAAACTTCTTTTTCTCGTTGTTCATAAGGAAGGTAGTCTGAATCTCGTTCGATGTGTACTACTTTGCGATTCTATGTTATCTATATAAACTCTTGCTGCTGATGTTGTTGCATTTGGAGTATCATCAATGTAGAAAAAGGAAGTTTCACATATGAAGAAAAAGAAGATGAAGATGGCAACTGCGATGGCTAAAAAGGTTGAAGTTGTATATTAGTTATTAAGTCATGTTTTTGTTATTTAATGGTAAGTTTGGAAACTGTGTTTAAAGTAATATATGATATTCATATACGACAAATATTCATGCCTTATTTAAAGGTCAAATTGTATGAAAAAATAACGTATTTTAATGATTCCTATTTTGGGTAACGTACTTTTAAAACTTTCATTTTGGCACCTAAGATGTAAAATTTTAAACAATTAAGTATCCGGGTAACCGTTTGAAGCATTAACCGGTTAGATTAAGATATTCATGTCAACAAATAATACTGAGTTGAATACCACATTACTCGTTACATCAACCGGTTACCCAAGTACTTAAATGATTAAAATTTTGGTCACATTCCGGCTACTAGCTACTAGGTAAGACAAGTTAGCAACGACTTGCACATAATTATTAGATGGAAAAAATACACATTATGAGGTCAAAATTGTACCCTATGTCACAAATTTTAAATGCTAGAATTTAAACTTGCAGTATCATAAATTCACATTTTTAGATCGAAATCTCAATAATTAAAATTGCAAAAAATTTCAAATCGACAGAAGTCTGCATACATCGTCAACTTTTTTCAGAAAAAATTACATTAAAAAAAATACAAATATTGAAGAATAAACTTATATTGCAATGCAAACCTATTTATAAATTCAAACCCTAAAACCTAAGACTTAATGTTTAAAAGAACCCTAGAATCAACCTTATAATTTCTACAAATTTCATATCACAGACTTCGTAGATGTTTGTTTGTGTATATATATATCTATATATGTATATGTATATATATATATACAAAGAGAGAAGTGAGTTATCATGCAATCCTTTACATTTGTACAACCAATACAACTCAATCTCAACCGTCCATTTAACTTGATGAATATATGATTTCATAAAAGTTTTGTTTGTTTCTTAATATAAAATATTGATCATAATTAATGAACCATAGTCATCTTGCATAAATATTTAAATAATAATAAATAAACTCTCATAATTTCCATAAATATCTCAATTGATTGAGTTGCATTGGTTGTACAAATATGGTAAGTTGCATTTGAAACGTCCCCCCTCTATCTCTCTATGTATATATAAGGTTGGGTGTAAAATGAGAAAGCAAATAAAAAAACACGAGAATGGTTAGATCATCGTGATTTTACTAGGTCATGCCAAAGGTATGTAGTATTACGTATAATTGACTATAGTAGAATGAATCATTCTCATTTGAAACCTATGGTTCGGTTCCGGTGAGAAGAGAAGTTATGGTAAGGAGCATAAAAAGAGATCTCCACCCTTGGATCAATTCTAATTGAATGTCAACATTAACGAGGTGCACCGGATCAATTATCTTCTTCATAGGTGAACATGAGATTAAAAATGATCAAATGTTCAAATCTATTCTTACGCTTCTCATCATAACTCTCCTTCTCATACGATCATTCTCCTGTGGGTGTATGTATCTATGTATATATATGTATGTATGTGAAAATCGTAGGAGATGATGAGTGATTTTATCCAACAATTTGCTAGGGATCAATTAATCGATTATGCAATTATTATAATTTGTTAGATTATCTGATCTTGTAACAAATGTCGCATACCAAATATCATTGTCTTGTAATGGTCACGGTTCTTTTGTCATTTGGTTATCACGTGCAAGTAGTTTTGGTTTCGATTCCAAGAGTCCAACTATAGCAATAATAAAGGGAAAACATTAAAAGCTGTTTACACCATTTTTAGAGTTTTCGGACAAATATATGCTTTTCAAATGGTTGAAGTTATGCGCAACAGTAGTTCCAATTTTTCACGTTCATACACATTAGGTATCATTCGAGTTAAAAATCCCAACCTCGTTAATATTCTTTTATTTTTTTGAATTACGATTACGATTATAATTAATATTTAATAAAAAGATACACAACACGATGAATACCCAAAACCCATATGAAAAAATACTCGCCACTCGCCATTTGTCCATTTCCCAAGGTACGAATAAATATTCTAAGGTTTATTTTATACAAAGAGCTATAGTTATCCTCCCGTGATATCAAAAGCAACTATACGTTGATGGTAAACTCCATTTTAACTTACGTCAGTTGATTTTCATCAACTCCATATCTGTATTTCGTCAGATGAACAATTTACAACAGAAGGATAAATGGTAACATTCTAAACTTAAAAACTGTTAGAATCTTGTTAAATACAGAAACTTATACCAAACCTTTTGTCTTCAACACCAGATGCCAACCACTTGAAATAATGTCCCAATTATATGAGATTGCTTCCTTTTTAGCTTGACTTAGATGACAAAGAGAAGCATTATGTTTCCTACATGATTGGACTATATATCCCATAAAAAATGGTGGGGTCTTTCTTTATCTACACAATGTCACTTCTACTTTTTCATCTCTTTGAATTGGAATAGAACTTGGGGAATTGAGAAAAAGCATGAAGAAAAATTGGTTAGTGAGAATGGAACAAAGCATATGGGATTAAAGAATGATATGATTAAACAAAAGGGAAATATGTTAATGGGTTCTTGTCAAAATCTGCTCATTCACTTGTTTCCAAAGATTTGTAGGGCACTAAATTTGAGCTATTCCTTGCTCAAAGTCACTCAAAAAGATTCAATATGTTCCCCACCTTTTTTTTTTCTTTTTAGTTTACCTGTATATCCAACCCGCTATGCGAGCCGACTGATCCCAAGACGACCACCTGCTTTGTAGATAGCCCGAAGTCACCGCATTTGAACCTCCGTGGCCACAAGATGATTTTTATTCCTCATTGGATTTGAACTTGTGACCTCCTGA